TTTTATTAATCTAGTTGTGTTTTAGTTTTACTAGTTTATGTTAACTATGTTTTTAAAAAATTTGATATTGAAAACAAATTTTAAAACTCAAAAAAATGTTTGGTAGGTTTTGGTTGGTTATGGTAGGAAATTTAGGTAGGCAAAAAAATTTGTCTGTGGCAACGCTGATTGGGCATTTTACAAGCCTATTAGGAAGTATACATATCTGTGTTCGTATAGAATAGTAGCTTATGTCGGAAGACTGGCTTTAGTATAATGAACCATTCGCAGCATACGATTGCGAAATACTCACTGGCGCCGAGTCGTTGAAGAACTCTTGGAAAATAAACGTAAAAGAGGCAGTTGCGATGCTAGCAAGTCAATATTCGTATAAAGTCTCATAAAAAAATTCCTTGTGGTTTAAAGAATATAGGAAATGGTCATTTACTAAAGCCAGCCTCCCGACATAAGCTACTATTTCATACAAACACAAATATATTCGTCTACATCTGAATCTTATCAGTGTTCTATGTAAGAACCAAAAATCAATCCTCTCGCCAATTAGAACTTTTGCTTTAAAAGAAAAATATACATAGTGCATTTACTCTATACAGTATATTTTGCTTAGCTGCCCATCCTTCTTCGCACGAAAAACTTGTGCGCTTAACCGAAAAAAAGCACTTAAGCGAATTTTCTTTACTACTTCAATGAGGAAGGTATCCGAATCCCTATGAAACCAAATAATGGAGGAGCACTTACCACTTAGAAATTACTGCAAGAGAAATTTTTTCCGAATGGTATCTAATTATCTATATAACTACATAAAATAATTGCCGTTTTCGTTGTTCTGCGAGATGAGCAAAATAAATAATAGCTTGTAAAATTAGGGTAAGGGTCTGATTATGCATACTTCGCATAACTTCGCACAACCATTTGTACCAGTGCACTAAAAGTGTAACTTAAGAAACTGTGAAGCAAAATCTAAACTCAACAGATCGCTAAGTTTTTAAAAGTTCTGCTAATTTCTGGGTAATGGAAAACATACAAAATACATACAAAGTACATACGAAATTACAGTTTGAAGTTTATGCGAAGTTGTGCGAAGTTATGCGAAGTATGCATAATCAGACCATAAGGGTAGAGTCAGTGCAGGTAAACGTAATACTTTCTTTGATAATTGATAATACAGTACATTTTGCTGTGCTGCCTTATTTGCTTAAGTGCACATTTAAGATACCTACCCCAAAATGCGCATCTGGGCATTATTTTTAACATTTAAAAGGAAACTGCTCCGATATATGCATTCAATACATCTGCGCATTGGTGATACCTGCCTTAAAAATTGCGCAACTATTATCAAAGAAAGTATTATGTTTACCTGCACTGGCCCTACACTTACCCCAATTTTGTAAACTTTTATCTATTTTGCTCATCTCACAGAACAACGAAAAAGGCTATAATTTTATGTATAATTTCTACGTGGTAAGTGCTCCTCCACTATTTGATTTCATAGCGATTCGGATACCTTCCTCATTGAAGTAGTAAAGAAAATTCGCTTAAGTGCTTTTTTCGGTTAAGCGCACAAATTTTTCGTGCAAAGATGGATGGGCTGCTAAGCATAATATACTGTAGTTGCAAATTTTTAAGGCAGGTATCGCTAATGTGCAGGTATGTTGAATGCAAATATCGGAGCAGTTTCCTTATAAATGTTAAAAATAATGCCGCTGATGCGCATTTTGGGGTAGGTATCTTAAATGTGCACTTAAGCACAAAGGCAGCAAAGCAAAATATACTGTACTTGGTCTGGCATTACTGTTTGAGCATTGATGTGCTTTTGGGAAACCAAAACGCCAAAATAATTGGAATTCTATGCTTGGTGCGGCACTCTAGGGAAACGAACTAGTGTGGTACCGGTTCGGTTCTAGTGCGTTTGGAACCATGACTAGTACGCGTTAATTCTCTTTTGCATGCTAGCGACTGGCGAATTTAACATTGCGATGTCCTAGGAAGTGTCAATTGTCCCCCGTTGCATCCCTTTGGCTCTAGTTCCGAACCAGTTCTAAATTCGACAGATAAGATATAGTTCGTTTTGCATCCCTTTTTCTATAGTTCCGAACCAGTTCAAAATTCGACAGATGAGATCCAGTTCGATCTGCATCCATTTTTTATATGTAGTTATTGTAGGAAGGACAATACAATCACAAATGTTTAAACGCATTTATTTAAAAATTTTTTTTTGGGATTTTGTTGTAGAATTGACCATATTTTTTAAAAAATTACCGAAAACTAAAATATTTAAAAAATTCGTTGTACCTAAACTTTATTGACTGACTGTATTAAAAAAAGCTGTGCGGGATTGCATAAAAAAAATTAATTTGTCTTTTCTTAAAAAAAAAGGTAGCTCTGGTGGCTTGCATTTTTAAATAAATTTAGTGAGAAAGCGATAATTATTTTGACACTTTTTTTTTAAATGCCTCTTTTTCTGCAACTGCATTGCCTTTCTCAATTGTCCTTCAGGATCTTGGCCTTTGTTTATGGAATCACTAAGTATAATGATTACACAGGCCAACAAAAATGAAAAAAAATGTTGGTGCGACAAATGTTAATGTTTTGATAGACTTTTTTGTGCTGATTAGGAATCCGTAAGTACAAAGGATCCAACACGTACAGGTTTTGAGAAAATCGAGGTCAAAGTGTCAAATACCTTGTGTTAGCGTGCTGAACCGTGTCTCGGCTAAGATCAACGCGTGTAGCAGCGTCGTAATAATTATGCATGGTGGGCCGGTGACGACGGACGGACGAGAGTTGTGCATTGAAATTATAGGCAGTACCCTATAAACCAGTTTTCAAGACATTATTTTCAAGGTCAATCTTAGAAAATTGCACACTCAGGGTTTAAGAGCTGTTTGAAAGCATTTGAGCAGACCGGGGCAGTGGATTCTTAGGAGCGTCAGGTTATTTGTGGAGCTCTAAAATGGCATTTTTCTGTTCAACCCAAATAAAAAATATCAGTTATGAAGATTCCAAACCAAAGGTTAAGTTATTTTTAAATCTATTCATATAACAAGTGACGTAGAAAACTACATCGAAGAAAGTTAACTGGTGTTAATTTTAAGGTCGTATGAGGGTTAAAAAATACAATTAAAATTAGTACACTGAACCTTATTAAAAATTATATTTGCTTTAATTTAATTAAGTTTTTTTTTTAATTACAAGTAATGCGATGCATCGCAAAACATCGATGTGACATCACGATGCATTGCATTGGGAAAAACATCGATGTACTTTTGTACGTGCGCATCACTAGCCTGCATTTGCCCAAATATACGGAATTATATCAAACTGTAACAAATTTGGAAAATAATAAATATTTATTATTAACAATAATGCAGCTTTCTTGCGTTATTTTTAACAATTAGCGATTTTAAATTTTGCTCCGACAGCACAAATTCGTAGAGAATTGTACAAATTCAAATGGATTCGATGATAGCTGTCTGCGAATTTCGAATTTCCTTTCGTAGCTATTCGGATTCAATGATAGCACGTTCGTAGATTTCACGAAAATCGAACTTATGATGGATTCTGTGATTGCCCTGATTATAATGGAAAGTCACGCTTACGCTGGGTACATGACCTAGCGGATTCGCGTCGCGCGATGGGATTGAAATCGCTACTAGCGACCAACCAAACAAATTCATATGGCAGTGTTTATGATGCAGCGATGTATACCGCCATAAAAATTTGTGTAATTGATCGCTGGTAGCGATATCGATCGCATCGAGCTATGCAAATTCGATAACTTATAACCGTAGCCTGCTTATAATGTTTTTCAGGCAAAAATATAATAAAACATTGACAAAGAGTTTCGCTTATTTGAATTGTTTTAAACTTTTTTCATGTTGACTATCGAATAGCATGAGCGGGGAAATTTATTTTTGTATGCAGTAAGTGGTCATAAGCAATAACCGCCTATGTATGTCAAAAATGCTGAATTCGAGAAAAACGTTTTAAACATTTGGATTGTAATGTTAGCTTTACGGAGAAACCAAAATATTTTCGCCTATAACTTTTTTACTAGCCTAGCCGGCGAGATGGGGATGTCACACACGCATGGAATAGTGGTTGAAGAATCATATATATCACATATAACTCCACTGTTTCTTAAGTCGACTTAGGCGGTTACTGCTTGCGACCACAGAAATATCAAGAAAATACCGATCGCAAAAGCAGATAACTAGTCAGGCAATAATAACAAAAAAAAAACAGTTACATACATATATGGGTGGTGTATTATTTGTATCGTATAATACAGTTTTTAATTTTTCGTTGTTACCACCATTAAATAAGGTAAAGGGGTTACTACAAAATAGGGAAATGACCCATATAATCAAAGTTACATATATATGTATTCTCACCCAAAAACACTTGCATTAATATGGCATTTCCATTAATTTTATAGAAATTCAAGCGCTACACAGCCGCCGACGTTGAAGCTGACATGGACCACGACTTTTCTGAACAGGAGCTTAGTTCGGGTCAGCGCAAGCATACAGCTGCACGTACATTATCCAATCCAACCCTTGCCAAGGAGTTACACGACATGATGCTGTCTGAAGGGGAGAGTGGTGTGGCGAATGCGACGGCGGCAATAAATGGCAACGGAAAAGGCAGTGGCGGTGAGTCCTCCTCCCATTGTCACTCACTTTTAACTCTCGCAACAGCCAATACCAAGAATAGTTGCTATGAATTAACGCGCCCATCGTCCCTTAAACGAACGCCTACTTCGTCCTCCACAGTAACAGTAATTACAAGCGGTTGTGGTGGTGCCAGCGGCACCAGTGGCGTCGGCGACACTCTAAATGTTTCTGCAGTTGATAGTGCGAGCGCCAGCGATCAGCATTGGCCTTCACGTACACTTAGCATTCGGCATCACCATCACATTGGCACGTCTAGCAGCACTTCAGGTATAAGTGGAAACGTTTTGGTTGGTAATGTGACCACATTGCCAAATCTGCAACCGGAAGCCGCTGCATTGACGCGGCACACACGAATCCATCACCATCACACTAAATCTTTTTCGAACCGCGTCACTTCGCTTAAGAAGGAGAATAAAACTACACAAACTTTGAGCATTGTCGTTGGGGGCTTCATCGCCTGCTGGTTGCCGTTTTTCATCTACTATCTTATAACCCCCTTCCTAGAAGAGCATGAAGTTAGCCGCACTCTGGCGAAGGGACTAACCTGGTTGGGGTGGTTCAACAGCGCCATAAATCCGTTCATTTATGCATTCTACAGTGTTGACTTTCGTACGGCTTTCTGGCGGCTGACGTGCAAACGCTTCTTCAGTGGTTCTATGAAACCGCAGTTTCCAACGAACACCATGTCCATTAGACGATAGTTATACGCTTTGCATGCATATTACGCATAGTTTAATAAGCCACATACGTACATATATAGTTACATGCATATGTATGATAGCATGTTCATGTACAAGTAAACAAATACATATCGCTCATTTACTTCAATAGTGTCATAACTAGACATCGGTATGAAATTGCATGTATTTGTTTAGTATCAAAGAGATCCTGGACCAAGACAGAAATTCTAAACGTTGATTTTTAAATTGAACGAAAAAACATCACAGCGCACGGCAGTGCGCGCGAGTGACGAAAGCAGCCACAGTAGCATGCTGAAATGACTCGCTTATATATACACGAGATTTGGAAATTTTTATCCAGACGTCCAATCGACATGTTTGAGATATCGTTGGAAAGGTCTTGCAGAGTGCGTCCAGAAAATGTATTCAAGCTTCATAAACGATTAACCGGATTCTTAAAAATTAGGCTAATGTGTTGCAAAACAAAAAAAGGTTTTTGTGCTTGTGCCGGTTTAAGGAGGCATGTGGGTACACCCAACATATTTAGGGCCGGTTGTTCAATGTCTGATTAGCACAAATCGGAGGTAGAAGCTCCGGTTAAGCACAACTACTGCTTTATCGATCACATGTTACATGCATGATGTCAAAATCGTCGATAGTGTAGTGGTAGTGATAACCAGACATTGAACAACCGGCCCTTAGTGTTGTTCAAACGATAGATTGTGTTTTGGTTCGTGTCTCCACTACGAGATGCTTTGGAATGTATGTGGCGTCTGTACGTACCTTCATTTAATTTTTTTCAAACTTTCAGGAATTAAAGTACAATAAAAACTAAGAAGGTCTTGCTCCAGAATGTTTTGATTTGTATGCCTGTGTGGGCGTGGCTGNATACCTTATATATTAAGTTCCGGCTACTAGTTGGAAAGATATAGAGGTAAATGTGTTTTGGTTCGTGTCTCCACTACGAGATGCTTTGGAATGTATGTGGCGTCTGTACGTACCTTCATTTAATTTTTTTCAAACTTTCAGGAATTAAAGTACAATAAAAACTAAGAAGGTCTTGCTCCAGAATGTTTTGATTTGTATGCCTGTGTGGGCGTGGCTGCTGCCTGAAATTCGAAAAAAGGCAATTTTATAAACTACCACTGAGGCCGCACTACTCAATCCATGTAATTGATGTCGATATCAGTAGAGCGATCTTCAAACGAGCTATCTAACGCTATCTTTTGTGTTTATAAAATATAAATATGTCATAACGATATCGCCTGAAAACTAAAAATCGGGCTGCTGAAAATATAGATTTCGAGAATTTTCTCAAAAACTGGTCAGTCGATTTTATTCTTAGTTTCCACAAATCTGGCCCGAAACCTTAGCTTTCATCTGGTATATAGCTTATAAACTTATTATATATTTATAAGCTTATTATATATTATAGCTTCCTAAACTATGTATTTGTCAATGTTATTGTGGCTTGTTAACATTTTTATTTTTAATATTGCTGCACTTGATAGTAGTTGGTTGAATAAGGAAAATGAATTAGCAACAAGAGTTTACGGGATGTACATAGCTCAGTGGTTAACGCTTCTGACTTTGAACATCGAATTNAAAAAGAAGTCTGATGAGGAGATGTGGTGATCTCCGAAATAGTGCTATAACTTCTACCGCTTAGACTTTGTTGCTTTTTCAATTTTTCCTAATAAACAATCGTGGTACAAAGCTCAATAAAAAATATTAAACATTTAGTTTATTGTTTGTATTTTCGTCGATTTTAAATTTACTACCCCAAAGTAATTGATATCAAATAAAACACCTCTTTGAGGTAAAATTTTCGAGTGACGAAAGCTGAACTAGAAAACACAAAATTTATTATATCAATTTCGTGACGAAAATTATACGCATTTTTTAACTGCCTTTGAAACGTACGGAAAATCATTTTTTATTAATTCGGAACGTTGCGAAATTCCGTTTGCTGCTAGAAACACAAAACAAAAACAGATCTTTTGCAACGATTCGTGTGAATAAAAAAGATTTTCCCTACGTTTCAAAGGCAGTTAAAAAATGCGTATAATTTTCGTCACGAAATTGATATAATAAATTTTGTGTTTCTAGTTCAGCTTTCGTCGTTTTACCTCAAAGAGGTGTTTATTTGATTGTACTTTAATTCCTGAAAATTTGAAAAAAATTAAATGAAGGTACTTACAGACGGCATATACATACCAAAGCATCTCGTAGTGGAGACACGAACCAAAACACATTTAGCTCTATATCTTTCCAACTAGTAGCCGGAACTCAATATATAAGGTATCGTTTGAAAGGTATTGACTGGCAAAAGCACAAAAACGTTTTTTGTTTCGCAACACTTTAGCCTAATTTTTAAGAATCCGGTTAATCGTTTATGAAGCTTGAATACATTTTCTGAACACACTCTGCAAAACCTTTCCAACGATATCTCAAACATGTCGATTGGACGTCTGGATAAATACTTCCAAATCTCGTGTATATATAAGCGAGTCATTTCAGCATGCTGCTGTGGCTACTTTCGTCACTCGCGCGCACTGCCGTGCGCTCTGATAATACCAACTAAATACTATAATACTTAAGAAGGTATTGTTATTAGATAAATACCATGTTGCCCACATAATATTTAGCTGGTATTTCAAGACACACAAATGGTATTTGCTCGGTTCGTAGTAAAAAAACTTGATGTCCGTAACAGGTATAATAACGATCACGCTTAATGTCAACCTGCTATGTTTTAGTCTGTCAGTGTGCCACCAAAAAAAAGGGGAAATTTGAAGCCATTCACGCAAAGACCTATTCAGACAACATTTGTTATATTTCAATATTTTCAAAGGCACGCAGCTGTAAAAGGTTTTATTTTATTCTTTAATGTGTAATTAATATGTATATAAACAAATGAGAACAATTTAGTAATCTCTGAAAGTACAAAGTGAAAATGAACTTAAGATATTAACTTTTTGATAATTACGTGTGACAGATTTCAAATTGTTACAGTTTATTTCCAACAATTCAACAATTTTGGAACAAGTTTATTTTTGCAGTGTACTACAACGCGAACCAAAATTTTGGAGTTATTGAACCTCCCTCGTATTATACGATTTTTGTTTCGTTGGATCACAAATAATTTTGTTAAATATACTGCGCTGAGTGTAAAAAATGTCTGCGTGTTTCTGCATTAAATTTAAGTTTTAAAAGGTGGCTTATGCCTCTTCAAACTCTTCAAAAATAATCTTAATGTTTAGCCTAAAGATTTCTTAACACTCTTTCGTTTGACACCCATATTTTAATATTTACTATAACTTATGCATAATTTAATTAAATTCTACCTTTTTAAACAAATGAAGACTTTCTTTGAAATGTTTTCAAACTACAACCTTCTTAAACCCCTTTCGTCTGACAACCATACCTAGTTGTGATACATATGAATTTCAATCATACTATTTCCCTTAATTCAAATTGATTTGATTTGATAGATTGATTGATTGATAGTTTGCAAGTAAAGCCTTTTCAAATCCATTTCCATTGATAACCATATTCAGCCTTATTCTGAGTTTCGCAAGAAACAAAATTCACCCAAAACTTTTTCATCCGCCCAAAATAAATACACGGAAACAAAAAGTGAACCGGTTCGGGGAAAATGAATCTCAAGATAATGCTGATTGTAGTAATTAATTCCCTTAATTGAATTTAATTGTTTAATAGGTGGCAACACTTTACATTTTCTAACCTAGATATTTATGAACCTTCTCCACACCGAGAAAATCACACTTTAAGCTACTTTGAATTATATTACATATATTTATATATAGAAAAGATGTAGTCCACAACATACTAAAAAATGAATAGATGTACTAAATAAACAACAATTGCATATTATTTGCGTATCTTTTGCATATATTTTCATATTTTTTTCTTATGCAAATTTTATAGAATTCCGATGTCTAGTCATAACTCAAAAAAGCTAGACTCGAAAAAAAAACAGCTTTAAAGGTTTGAATCTACATAGTATACGTACTCCCATAGTAAATATGAATACATATTTTGTTCCAGTTAGATACTGGTAATTGATTCAGCTATGGAAGAATTTCTGCATACTCAACTCAAACTTATATTTTTTTGGATTATGACACTATTGAAGTAAATGTGCGATATGTATGTAAGTGTTTGGAAAACTTTAAATGAAATTCACGAGCATGTCGTACTATTTATTTACTTTAACGAAAAAATTACAGATTTATCGTGGTTCGGCCATCATTAGTTTAGTTTTGCATATAGGAGATTCCATAAAAGATGTAACGCCAGTGACTGTAATTAAAACCTTTTAAAATCGAATCGCGTTACTTTATTTCGCGCCCTTGCTGCACAAACGCCATAGCTTAAAAAATAAAAAATTCGTACACGCAAAATTTAATCCAGAAGACAAAACTATCTTAAAACCTTACTTTAATTCCTCACTTTGGCCAAAGGGTGATTGTTTTCCAGTTATAGCTAAGCAACGTAGAAAAGTATAAAGATCCGCTTGAACCGTACGAAAAAGAATCACTACTGACCACTCCCTGGTGAATCGCAGCCAAACGCTTTCACCACTTATGTATGTACATTAGGGCGGTCCAAAAATGTATGGGAGAAAAGTAAAATCGGAAATTTAATGCTCTCACCACCTAGGATTGTTCTATACCGAAAAAAAGTATACCCCTGTTTTTTTATTTTAAAATCAAAATATATTTAGAGGTCGCTCAAAGCGCTCAAAGTTTCCCATGTATTTTGTATGGGGGAAAAAATACTTTTCGTAGATATGGCATAGAATCAATGAAAATCAAAGTTTTTCAATCTGAAAACTCTGCTTCTCTTCAGAGGAGTTCAGAGAATAATGCCCAATTGTTTATTTAAACATTTTTTAATTTTAACTATTTTTTCTTTTTTTCTTTTGTATATTTCTTTTTGAGTATTTGATTTTTTTGGGGATTTTTCGGAGACCCTTAAAAAATAGTTAAAGTTAAAAAATGTTTAAATAAACAATTGGGCATCATTCTCTGAAGTCTTCTGAGGAGAAGCAGAGTTTTCAGATTGAAAAATTTTGATTTTCATGGATTCTATGCCATTTCTACGAAAAGTCTTTTTTTGCCCATACAAAATACATGGGAAACTTTGAGGGCTTTGAGCGACCTCTAAATATATTTTGATTTTAAAATAAAAAAACAGGGGTATACTTTTTTTCGGTATAG